TAAACGTAATTGAATTTAAATGAATCAATGAAATGGGTTACTTTGAGGTTCTGATGCCAATGATGCATTATCAACAATGATTCTACACATATGGCAATACTCACGAACAACTAGACAGAGTCCAGTTTCAGTGCGTTTATTTTTCAGTAAAATTGAAAAGTATAAAGAAAAGAGGAATAGAATTCATTTAAAAATATGAGAGGGTGCTAACTAAACGCCAAAGTCCATCAGTTTTGGTATGATTGACGACTTTATTGAACTTCCAGTTTATGTAACACATCTAGCCTTTTTTTTCATGATTTTTGTAGTACTCATCACCACGATAATACGAGTGACCAGGAGGAGCAACACGTGTGCGACAAACACGAGTACCAGATCGATCACGACCATCACAAATATCAGTCGCAATACGATGAGTATAGGGATCAACACCAACAGAATAAGAACTGCAACTACACTTGCGACGACCTTTACCAGTGAGACCAGCTCTAATACCAGTACAAAGAACACAGTGACCACTTTCAGGATCATCATGACCGCAACAATCCGAAGTGGCAGTACAGACATCACCAGGACGACCACAACCACGTTTGTTCGCAGATCGATTAGGTTGTTTTCCTATTAGTGCATTGCAATGTACAGCCAAAAATATCAAGATACACATAAAGTATACCACAGTCTTCATGTTATTCATTTTGGTGTTGTCGATTGATGAAGAGATGCGAGTATACGTATTAGTTAAAAAATATGTGTGTGATTATTGTTTTGATACTAGTGCTACTGCTCTTATATAAGCAACGATTGCTTTCTAGAAAATGGATGAAAGAAAAAGTTTGTATTCATTATGTAGAATGGAAGAAAAGCAAGTAGCCAGAGGGTTATTTGCAAACGCAGAATAATTAAACACTAAAAAAGATAATTGGTACTTTTCTTCGTTCGAGAGCAAATAGGTTCTTGTTTATCTCTAAGATGTACTAACCCATCCAGACATTGAATACACTCTAAAATGCCCTCTATCCCTCATTAGTACCTTTTCAGTATCATATTACTGCATGCCAGTGTGTGCAGTTTTTCTAATAATCCATATCCACAACCACGTTCTCGAAACTTTTAAAACACTTTATTCTACATGAATATTAAAAATAAAGCAGAGTTTGAAAAGTCCATTTGAGCAGCATCTACGGTGATCGATCGGGACTTACGTGGAATGACCCGTATTGATTTCAACATGTGTCGGAAACTAAGACTGTACCTACTTTGTTTTGAGTTATTTAATCTCACCATTGTACTGCTGTTATAGTGGAACAGCTTATTCGTCATGTTAGAACTTGTTGCGATCACTGTTGGAGTTAAAACTGTTCTTTAAAAAGTTAAAAGGTGAGAAAAAAGAAAAAAGTTAAAATCGTTATAACAGGAGTTATAACTATCAACACAAGTTATAAATATCAACCACAGTTATAGCTATCAACTATCTTAACTTTTTGACTTTTCCAATCAATTTTATTGACTTGAAATAATAATCCTGCTGAGTTCATTGACACTCTTGATAGAATTAATCAAAATATATGTAATTCATTATTCATTACCTTAAAAAAAAGAGCACAGTTTGATGTCTTTGAATGTTTTGTTTTCATGTATTTATCTACATCCTATGTTTTCTTGTATTATATGTCAACTATGAAGAGAATATGTATTCTTTACATTGCGGCAGAAAAACTTGTCTGCGTTGACAGCTTTAGGTGAGAAACAAAAATTGCAGTCACTTTCATTAAACATATTTCTCATGTACATATGCTTTCCAATAAAATATATATCTTTGAAGATTTCATAACAGATTAAACCGGTCTTAAGTTAATATTCTTATAACTTTCAACTGAAGCAGTGACTGTCATCTGAGTTTAACCCTTCGTGGTTGTCCTGGAGCCCAAGCGGACCCACTTTGCAGTTTTTCGTGTATTGCTAAATTAACAGATGTTGTTTCGGGCCATTCTCCTTCTCTAATCTCTAGTCTTATGTTGATGCACAATATCCGTAACTTATATCATGAATAGCTTTGGAAGTAAAAAACTGAAGATATGGGTGCGTATGAACCTCAGGGCAACTACGCTGTTATAGGAACGATTTTTCTTTCTGTTAAAACTAACCTCTTTTGTCTCCCTATTGTTTTTTCAACTAGTTTTACGTGATTCGTCCGTATATGGGTCATTTACAACGATAGTTCAGTTTTTCTTCATATTGTAGATATTTTCAGTTCATTTTTCATCAAAACCATGTTGGTCGTTTTGGTAGCTTGATAGTGTCGATATGACTAATAAGTCAAATTTAAAACGAATTCGAAATATTTTATTGTCAGATACAAATGATACAGATGAGGATATCACTGATGATCAAGAGTCGGATTTGGATAGCGATTTTGACACTAACGCTATTGAATCAGGCGGCATATCCACTGACGAACATATATCAGAAAAGTCTGATCCATTCAATGCCAATATTGGTGAAAATGATGTTTTTACAAATAGTCAACCGAAAACAATAGAAAAGGCTGGTGTGACATGGTTTATAGTCCATCCAAAAAGTCGATGCGTGTGAGTATTTTCTAAATAACTCGAGAACAAAAAGAGACAGAGATCAGTGATTTTCACCATATTGTACAGATATGTTACTACATCGATTTGTGCATGAAAGGTTCGAAGACTCGAATTTAGAGGTAGTATGTCTAACAAGTTTCTAGAAGGACTGATTGTTGCTCTCCGAATTCTCATGAAAACTCTTGCATATAATGCATCCAAAAGATAGCCTATGATGTTCTCTACAATTTTCACAACGTCGACCTTGCCAGCTTATTTCTTTCATGAGTTATAGACATTTTCCCGAGAGCCTTGATTTCGGTCAGTTGGCCTTGCATCACTTAAAAACACATTAGAATAGAAGTAATTGACCATGCTAAGTCGGATGGTGATGTTTATTTTCAGTTTCGAAACGATCGGAAGTCATTATATAAAGATTCTCGAAACTTCAAATATCCCAAACTTGTAGCTTGTTGAGTAGCTATTTCGAAAACCATGGTACAGTGACTTCCGATCGTTTTGAAACTGAAAATAAACATCATCATCCGACTCAGCATGGTCAATTAGTCCTACTATGATGTGTTTTTAAGTGATGCAAGGCCAACTGACCGAAATCAAGGCTCTCGGGAAAATGTCTATAACTCATGAAAGGAATAAGCTAGAAAGATTCGCGTTATGAAAAATTATAGAGGAAACCATAGGCTAGCTTTTGGATGCATTATATGCAAGAGTCTTCATGAGGATTCTGAGAACAGCGATCGACCTTTCTAAAACATTGTTAGACATCCTGCCTGTAAATTCGAGTCTTCGAACATCTCATGCATGAACCGATAGAGTCTCATATCCTGTACAATATGGTGAAAATCGCAGGTCTCTATCTATTTTTGTTCTCGAGTTATTTGAAAACCACTCACATGCATTGACCTTTTGGATGGACTGTAGTATCATAGGTTTTTAATTATGATACAAGGGTAAAGATGCAAATAAAGATGCATAAAAAGCAATAATTCCAAAGAGGAATCAGCGGATTGGCAGGATTCCAAATCCCATGGAAATCCTGGCAATCCCATGGGAATCCAATGGATATCACTGAATTAATTAATGTGGATATGTGAAAAATAGTGAAATTAAACTATAGGGTGTGGGTGTGGGTGTAGCTCTAGATGTGGTTTCCACCAGCACACATACAGTCCACGCACACCTACCCATACCCACACCAACACCCAAAATCTTGACCATTGGACAGTTATGAATGAAGAACATTAAATTTATATAACTGCGTTGTCTTTTATATTTGTTAAGGTACAGACACAGAAATCCGATAATGATATAAATCAAGCATTAATCCTTGCCATGTAAATTGAGGTCGTTCAATGATATTAATAAATGAAACATAAATTTTTCAGATTATGTATTCTGTTTAATTAATTGAATAACTGTTGATAAAACTCGAATAATGTATATATAAATATGTAAGAATTACTGATTAGTCAGCAAAAGTGGCGTGATTTTGATGAGTAGAGCAAGAATAATTTTCGTCAAGTTGTTGATATCTATCTTTCTTTGAAATAATTAATTGATGGACAATCGATAATACGTTTGTTTACAGAAGGTAAGAAGTTTTACTCTATCTTTTTTGAGATTTTTGTTAGTGATGAAAAAGAATGGATGGAAAAAGAAAGAAAGGAAAAATAGCGGATGGGAAAATATCGAAGAGAAAATATCGAAGAGGAAATATCGAAGAGGAAAAATATCGAAAATTAGAATGTCTAAATAAAACATGATATATATATATATTGTGATAAATGATATTAGGCAGATGAAAAATAACTATAAAATATAATAAAGACCTAGACTAAATGTCACTTCACATATGATAATGAACAGTCATTTTCTTTTTGACTTAACATTTTTAGCAATAACATAAGATAATCCATCGAGAAGTTCATTAGCATTAATATCATCATTACCGTAACGAATATATAATGTATCGATTCGGTGTTGAATAGTAAGGGTTGTCTTTGTTTTTGGTCGAGCTGTGAGACCACCTTTCATTTGAATTAATAAATGATTAAATCTATTTTCTTCACCTTGAATACATCTTATGAAAGCCCATATGTTCGGATGATATTTAGCTATGCGTAAATTAAGACGATTGTGGTAACCTACAAGCTTATGAAAAACAGCAACATATTTATACTATATAAAGTTTCACACCTTCGGCATTGTTATTCGTTCACATATGTACTCCATAAGCATTCCATCTTTGAATATCTATATTTTTGATCCACTGATTCTCAAAATAACTAAAAAGAGGTTTAAGTAAATCAAATTTTTTCGATGATGATCCAAGAACTGAATCATGAAGATCATCATATGCTTGTAGAACTAATGAAACAGGCATTAAAGCAAGCGCCATACGTTTTCGGCAAGTATTTCGAAATTCATCATCAGCAACATATTCAGAAGATAAACCAAGTTTTTGGATGTTTCGATAGATCGCCTGTGTATAGTGAAAGAAACAGTCCACATATTGACTATTAGGAAACTAGAAAGACAACACAATAGTATTTATCCAAATTAAACTAAACACGTACTTCAATTTTAAGTATTTCAGCTAATGTGCCTTCAAAATCTGACATAATAGTACATGGATTGAAAGTCATATTTAATTGAGCAGCTTTATTATGTAATTCATGAAATAAATATTTGTACGTATGTTTTTTTCGATCAGGTAAAAGAGCAAAAACACAAACAAACGCTGCAAAATACACTAGTATTTGAAAAAATTTTTCAAGAAAAAAAATTTATATTCACATTGTTCAAATCTAATTGCATGTATGCAATATACCTGATCGAAAATAGAAGGAGATGATGAGAAGGTACCATGAATCAAGATGACCAAACTATTGAATAATAATTTCAATTGTTCATTTGATGCAAATACTAGCATTCGAGCTTTTCTTTTTATAATCTGATCAATACAGAGGAAAGGTAAATTTTTCAAAGTTTTTGTATAACATTCTGGGATATCAAATAATTGAGAATTAGGAATAGATGATGTTTGTAGACGACGTGCTTTATTTAATGTACTACCTGGAAAATATATTTTTTAAATGAAAGAAAATAAAGTTTTTATTAACCAAGTTCTCTTTGAGACGGTAAAGCAGTAATTGATAATGTCGTTAAATCGATTCGGGCTGCTTCCTCGTCATAAATCTGTGGAATTAGTGTACTTTCACTTATAGCACGTACTTTTACAACTTGTTTGAATGTTCGAATTTGAATTTCTTCGGGCTCAGGTGGATGACAATGATCACCATTAACGTTTAAAATAATATCTTCAAGATCAGTACGAGCAGTAACAGTACAACATGAATCTTCACATCGATAGTATTTCGTTGTGCTCGTTGTCTTATTCAATTTAAAGATGAAATTGTTTATATTCAACATTTTCTTTCCTTTTTGAGATATGATAAATGATGTTTTATCATTAGAATTATTCATCATATCTGAAAAACCTAAGAATCAATTCGTATATCTTTAACTATTAACGATCATCACTCGAAATTCCATCAGTACAACCATTATTAATGAAGTACCAAAAATAAATTAATTAATCAATGACGATTGATATTTATCTATTATATTCATATATTTACAAACGCACCACTTAAAGAATAAGTACTGTTAACTACATAAACCAACCAATTAAATAAGACATCTTTAGCGAATGTTTTATAGCGACGTCTTATGACTATTTATTCTTTCCTTTCCTTTCGACATTTTTCCTTTCGCTGTTTTCTAATTTGATATTTTTCTCTTTCGATATTTTTCCTTTCGATATTTTCCCTTTCTTCCTTTCCCCATCATACCATGAAAAATATTAAGAATAATATTAGGCTTTCTATCATTGTAGCCATATTCTTCCTTTTTTTTTGAATACCAACTAAATATTGAATAAAACATGTTTATCGAAAATCAACTTCAATCATTTAAGTCATCAAAACACATTTCTTTAGACAAAAATGTTCTCGAACACATTATTCTCTTAAATAACTCATATTAAGTTATCTTGACATTCTACGAAAAAGAATATTAATGTCTGTGATAGCCATAACAAAAAATGAATCTCATTAAAAAAAACTTATTACTAACAGCTGAATTTATAAGCTATGAATGGGAAAGAGTATCTTATTTCGACTCTTATCAATTTTTAATCGAAAATAGATCCTTTATTCATAAACGTCTGATTTCCAAAGTTGTCCGTCTTCATTTTAAATGTAATCTTATTATTTAACCCTTTAGATGAAACTTGCTCCTTAAAAGAAGACGATTGACATAGTAAGAGAATGAGTTCTACCATAATTACTAGAGCAAAAATTATATTCTTGATTTAGTCCATTGTTATGAAGTTTCTGAAGTTTTTTAGTTACACTAATTTCTTTGATTGAATTGATTTCTTTTAAACCAAGTTGACTGAAAGCCTAATAAATCAGATGTTTTTGTGCGACATTTTGATAAAANGGATTGGGCGGGGTTGTGCGTGGGGTTCGATTCCGGTGACAACGGGTTTCCCGGCCCCTTTTCTTTACAGTGTCCCAACACAACCCAATCCCCAACCCCCCACCCCAGGTTTGGGGGGCCCCCCCCCCCCCCCATACAGGGCTTTATATTCTATATAATATATCAGCGCTTTCATAATGTTCGAAAAAAAAGCTATTTTCAAGTTTAAAAATCAAGTATCAGGATGAAAAATTCGAAAGATATACGTGAGTTTCCATTTTTAGCCCCTTTGGAGCTGCACTAACAAGCCTTTATCTAGAAAGCAATAAAGCAGAAAAGCAAAATTAGAAATAAAAACTACTTAAGTAAGCAATAATGATATTTAGAACTTTTATAAAAGAAAAAGAAATGCTCAATTGTTTTAATGATTTAAAAAAAATGGTAAATTCTAATGAAGAAAAAAAAACATAATTATTTATTTTGTCAGTTCCATATTTAATATCAATCTTTTATTAAGACATCTCAGGATCGGACACGCTCATTTAATCATTATTGTCGACATCATCATCATCTCTCCAAGCTACGGTATAATTTATGGCTTTCTCTCTTACAGTTAAATTTTCCGATTGTCGTAAATATCGAAGAAGATTTTGGCATTTTTCACGATCAATAGAAGCTTGATTAAATACAGAATCTTGAAGAAAATCAAAAACGAATAATGGTCGATTTTTTTCCATAATAAACCATTGGGCTAAATTAAGTTTTTCATCAACACTTAAATGTTTAATAAAATGGCAATAATCTTCCTTTTGAAGAAAACCTGATAGTTCTGTTAATATTCTTTCAAAATAAATTTCAGGTAAATTATCTTGAAGAATTTTTAATGCATCTTCAATATCTTCTTTATTTTGAGCGATTTTTAGTAATAATTTTCCAATAAGAGGAGCCAATATTTTATCAAATTGAAGAAAAATTGGAATAAGTGAACGAAAATGAATTTTTTTCTCATTATCAAATTCATTAATCTTAGATATAAGATTTCTTAGAATAGTTTGAATACGACGATAAACTGGTAAATCATGTTGATTATTAATGGCATTTTGTTTTGCATCGACATCATCTCTGTATGACATAATTTTTTTAATAATATCAATAACTATATTTAAGGACGATCTATTCAGAAAAAAGTAACATAATTATTACAGTTATTTTTTTTTTTGGTTCAACTTACATCTTTCGTTGTTTATAAAATAAAATAATTTTTTGAAAAGCGTTTATCCATAAAACATTGCCATCTTTATCAAATCGAATACATAAATTTTGAGCTTTGTTAATTAATTCATTCGTATGACAATATTCATATTCAAGATATGACCAAGCATATGTACGTGCTTCTAATAATCTTGGATGATCTAATATTTTAAATTGTATTTGATTAACAAATGTTTCAAATAAATTTTTCGACGAATATTTCAATTTTGATAATGGCCAACGAGAATATCCTCGATAACTAACAAATAAATTTTCTACCACAGGAAGATATTCATCATATGCAGCTTGTTCAAGAATGTTCCAAATAATATTATTATCATCATTGGAATGTGATTTACCAATAAAATGAAGTAGAATTAAAATAAGACATGCACGAATATCTTGATGAGGATGACTATCCCACAAAGGTTTTATAACAGTTGTTATTAAACTTGTATCAGATACATATTGAATTAATAAACGAAGAAGTTCTTTATTTGCTGTTATACCTAAATATACAAACGTATTTTATAATAAATTAATTATTATTTAATTTACCAAATTTTTGAAATTGTTCATTACGAATAATTTCAAGATAAGATTTTAAGAAAATTTCATCACTTATTTTAATTGAAATACTTAGCATAGCATCACTAATAAATTTTGCATTTGATGCATTTAACCTTGTTTTTAATAGATCAAAATGTTTTAGTAAATTTTCTGGAGTTAAATCAAATGTAGCTGGTAGACATAGAATTATATCATCAAGTCATTCTTCTCCTCTATCGATCAGTGATCGGACGTGTCTATAGTCTAATCTATCGTTATCTTCACGTCTTGTATATATACAAGCACGTGTATATAAACGTGACCTTTTTTTTTTCTTCAACTGCCTTTTACAAAGGTTCTCGTAACTTATACAAGTCTTTGTCTTATACGAAATATGAATCAGGAATCATGGACTGATCCTAAAGAAGCGATNTAACTTAGCACGCCTGTATTTTCTCCTTGCAATTTAGTGATAAAAAACACAGTGAATATACCTTTTCACTTTTTGAAGTACACATAACACTCGGATTTAAATCCGAGGTTTTCGCATTTATTTATTTTGAAATAAATATTTGAAATTCTAATCTAATTGTGTAATCATAGATTAATAAAAAGTAAAAAATTTTTGTTTTGTAAAATGTTCTTACTTTCGAATGATTTTCGTAGCAAATTGTTGAATTAATTCTTTTGTTTGTTTATTTGGATGATATTCAATAGATTTAAGTAAAAAACTTCCATAAGAAATAATAGTTCGTAAAGTAGTTGTTGATTGTTGTAAATGATTAATAGCAATATTAATAATAGATTCAATTGAATCAAAATTATTTATTAAACTTTGAAAATTAAGTTTCATATTATATGAAGATAAATTATTTAAAAAATTTTCAATAACAATTAATTGTTCATTAGTAAATCTTTTTTCGATCCATTGAATAACATTTTTTATATATTGTTCATTTGTTAAAATAGCAGATTGAAGAAAAAAAACATAATTTTGTTGACGTTGATTGACATCTGAACCTGTTTTTTTAAATAAAGATAAAAATTGATCATAAAGATTTTCTGTCATTATTTGATAACGAATTAATGATAAACGTTCTTTATCGTCAACAATTCTTTTACGTTCATATTGTGATATTACTTGAAGAGAAGCTGGTGTTGTAAATTCAACATATTTATCAAATAATAAAAGATAATTTTCATTTGCTTCTTTTAATAATATTTTTAAAAATAATTCTTTTCCAATATATTTTTCAATAATTGTATCAATTAACCATTTTCGTTCTTTTTTTAATGAATATATATTTGAATATTTATTTCTATTTTCTAACATTAATTTAAAAATATTCATTGTATGATTTGATGACCATTTACATGTATCATATAAACAAACAAATAATTTACGATAATTTTCAATTGAAAATGAACGAGGAAATGAAAATGAACTTATTTCAGATCCTCTACTATCCCAACGTGTCATAGATTTAATTTGACCTTAAACAAATAAATGAATTAGTTTAGAATAAATAAAATAAGATAAAATAAAAACCTGGTTTATTTGAAGCTATGATTGTTATTAATTGAATCATTTCATCAGGAACTTTTTTAAAGAAATAGGTTTGTTTTGAATCAATAAATTGAGGTAAATTTCTTTTATGTGTTTCTAATTGATTTAAATAATCAATTGTTAAATAAGTTAATTCTTTTGGTAATTTTGTCGAAAGTAAATTAAATAATTGTTCATATTCTTGAAAATAATTTGAAAATTTTTCATTATTTGTCTTTATTTCATTTAAATCTTCTTTTATTAAATGAATTATAATAGATGGTTGATAACGAATTAATTTGAAATAAAATGCTGATGAACAATCAATTTGTTCAAAACGTTTTATTGACCATCGAGATAAAAGATTAAGAATTTGATCTTTACTACAAAATGGTACTAAATATCCATCAATATTATATTGTTCATGACTATTTGATTTAGTTAAATGACAAGCAAGATCATAAAAAAATGATGACGATTTTTTTAAACATTTTACTCGATGAAGATCTTTCAAAATTTTATGCTTTAAACTAAACAAAAAATAATATTATTAATCAATATCACGTTTTTTTGTCTTGTTTTCAAATGAATTATATTCAAAATAAAACTTACTATCGAGCAAGATTTTTATCATTTATTGATTCAACAAGAAAATTATAAATTTGTTTTTCATCATTTTGAAGTTGAATCCAGTGTTGACCAGCAAAAGCTCGTTGTTTTACTGGCAATGAATCATTTTTGAATATTTCCAATAAATTAATCTGATTTTTTGTTGATATTGATAGAAAAATAAAAGCCTGTAAATCATCGTAAGATGATAATAACGATTCTTTTAAATGTTTTTCTATATGATTTTTATCGGATAGGGATAATATATATTTAATACGATCTCTTGATGTACCACTAATTTTTAATGATTCATATTCATTTATTGACGACATTTTTTTCAACTAACAATTCACTATAGAACTAAAAATTAAACAAATTCTTTTATATTCAAAAAAACAAAAACAAAAACAAATTTCAATTCATGGTAAAATATTATTCAATGTTTATCATATTAAAAGAATCGAGACATTCCTATCGTTATTTTTTTTCGTAAAAAATACTGATGATTAATACTGATTTATTTTATTCAGTTTGGTGTTCGAAATATTTTTCTCTGTACATAGAATTATATTCAGAATTTACAGAAAGAAAACTAATGCACTTAAAAAAAAATATTCGATATTTTTTTCCTTTCAAGGTCAATTTGTTCTTGTCAAGAATAACAAAAAAAAAATATCATTGGATCATTTCAGTAAAAACAAACTGGCATCGAAATATATCATAGAACAAATATATGTCATTATAATTAGATCTTAGCTTTTTTAATTGACATTTGATTTATTCATCGGGAAAGAAACATTGTTGAATTTCTTAATTACTACAATATATTGATCAATAAATCCTTACTTAATCGTCATTTATTATTCATTGAAAATATTTTTACAGTTAATTTCTCGATTTGTTTAATATGAAAAAAAAATTTATGTAACATTTTTTTTGAAACATATTTACAAAACCATTTAAAAAAATATACATTTATTTATTTCATATTGACATTGATTTCGGTTGTTTATCGACAGCTGAACAAATAGAAAGACGACCAACAGAGAGGGCGCTATTTTCTAATGTTCACTTATATATTATTTTTATTTTAATTAAGAATAATAGTATCTAAAATATTTAATTATTAGAAAAAACGGAGATTTTTATTTCATAAGTTAATAGTTGTAACAAAATTATATTTAAATGAATAAATAAACAGTAACATCAATTCAAATTTATTTTATTCATTTAAGATATAACTAGGCATCTGTAAAATCACTTTTTTTTTCTATCCCAATCCCGGTCAAAATTTTTTAATGGTACTGATCCAGTCCTTGTTAAAAATTTTTATTGCTTCCCGATTCATTTTTTTTTGCTAAAATGCAAGTATTTTCTCTAACAATCTATATGATTCTTTTCCAAAAACAAAAACAATTTCATGAATTACTTTGACTTCTTAATAGTACAAGCCTACCTATATACGCATGCATCAGAGTTAGAGATATGCAAAATTAATTTGCTTTGTTAGACTCAAGAATTTGGCTTGGTTTACTATGAGGTGGCTCAGGAAATTCTCTCAAAGCTGAGAGTTATTGAAAATATACAAAATCTAAATGCATGGTATTAAATTGATATTGCTTCAAAATTCAATTCGAAAGTATCTAAATTTAGGATCTGTGAGATGCACTTGATATCGAGACAAAAATGTTGCTGGCTTCTCAGACGAAAACTGATTGGGTTTTGAGATTCGAAAATTCTAGAGGTAGTCAAGAAACGTTATTTTACAAGATTAAAGCTTAAGTTTTAGATTTTTGTGTCCGTATTCCGAATAGCAATTACGTTTTTTTTTCTAAATATGAACAAGTTCAATAAAAACAATAGAGAATTCGTGCTAGCAAAGGAGAAAAACAATCATAAAAACGGCACAATTAAAGGAATGGTTGAAATGCAGTGCAATCAAATCAATGTATACCGTACTCCTAGTGCATATACGGAGTACAAGGTATCCGAAAAAGTACCCAGCTACTACCATGGAGAGGGTGTGAGTGTGGGTGTGTGTGTTCTCCCNATTTTTTTCTCATTATCAAATTCATTAATCTTAAATATAAGATTTGTTAGTATAGTTTGAATACGACGACAAACTGGTAAATCATGTTGATTATTAATGGCATTTTGTTTTGTATCGATATCATCTCTGTATGACATAATTTTTTTAATAATATCAATAATTATATCTAAGGAAGATCTATTCAGAGAAAAAATAAAATAATTATTCTCGTTATTTGTTTTTTTTTGGTTCAACTTACATCTTTTTTTGTTTATAAAATAAAATAATTTTTTGAAAAGCGTTTGACCATAAAACATTACCATCTTTATCAAATCGAATACATAAACTTTGAGCTTTGTTAATTAACTCATTCGTACAACAATAATCATATTCAAGATACGACCAAGCATATGAACGTGCTTCTAATAATGTTGGATGATCTAATATTTTAAATTGTATTTGATTAACAAAATTTTCAAATAAATTTTTCGATGAATATTTCAATTTTGATAATGGCCAACGAGAATCTCCTCGATAACTAACAAATAAAGTTTCCACTACAGGAAAATATTCATCATATGCAGCTTGTTCAAGAATATTCCAAACTATATCGGAATGTGATTTACCAATAAAATAAAGTAGAATTAAAATAAGACATGCACGAATATCTTGATGAGGATGTCTATCCCATAAAGGTTTTATAACAGTTGTTATTAATCTTGAATCATATACATATTGAATTAATAAGCGAAGAAGTTCTTTATTTGCTGTTATACCTAAATAAGACAAACATATTTTATAATAAATTAATTTTTATTGAATTTACCGAGTTTTTGAAATTGTTCATTACGAATAAATTCAAGATAAGATTTTAAGAAACTTTCATCACTTATTTTAATTGAAATACTTAACATAGCATCACTAATAAATTTTGCATTTGATGCATTTAATTTTGTTTTTAATAGATCAAAATGTTTTAGTAAATTATCTGGAGTTAAATCAAATGTAGCTGGTAGACATAGAATTATATCATCAAGTGGATGAATAGCAGCAGCACGACTTCGTGGACGAGAGTTTTCATCCGAAGACTTTATTACTAATTGAGAATCTTGGTTTTTTTGAAGCCATTCAAGTGTTTCGTTATGTGTTGATGATAGAGAACGAAGAATACGTAATGATTTTAATTTATCTAAATTAGATACGTCTTTGTCCTAGAACAAAAAACAAAAATAGACAATTGAAACTTTTTGTTTGATTAAATTTAATCACTCGTAAATAATCGTTTAGAATAATATGAGTTATATGCTGTTGTTGTTTTCCAGTCAATAGATAATAACAACTACTCAATATATTAATATATAATCCAGGTAGTTTAAGATTTTTTGTTGTAGCACTTAAAATTGTTGAAAGTTTACATTGTTCATTTGTTAATTTATCTAAAGTAAGACATTTATTATCTTGAACTAATTCATCTATTAATTGTTGATATTTTTGAGAATGTAAAGCAATTCGTTGAACATTTGGATCAATGAAAAATATTTTATCAATTTGATTAATTAATTGATTAACTCTTTCGAATCGAGTTGATTTATTTTTTAAATAAAATGAAATCATCGAAGAATGTTCATCAATTTGAAATGTTGATTGAAGTTTTGTTGATGAAGAAAGAGATTGAGTGAAAAATGTATTAATAAATAAATCCATTTGTGGTAAATGCCAAGCTTCATCTATATATGAGTCTAATGAATTACTTAATTCATCTAACATTGTTTTGGAAATAAGTTTTGGAAATAAATCTGTTATAAGAATATCAGCCAATATAGAACGTGCTTCTGGATATGATTTACTTATTGGTGTTCCATCAGGTCTAATATTATCACTCGTTGAAAAACATCTAAATTAAATGAACTTTTATCTGCTTTATTCAATCTTATGAAACACAATATTTTTCAAAAATAAAATTGTTGTCTATTAGGAGTCTGCATGATGCAGTTTTGAAACGAGTTGTTCGTTAATTGGCCTACGCCTTTAAGTTTGATTATGCTAAAAGCAGTCGCATCAAATCCAATGAAAAAAGTTCATTTGTCGAATTCAGAATGAATTTGTCATTTATTAAATGATGAGAACAGAAAATTTCTGATAGCAATATTAATATATTTGTTTCATCCACGACTGATATTGTTGAACTCGGAATTCGAGATTTTCTAGCTCTTTGTTGAGAATTTTGAAAACTACGGCTTCAGATTTCTTTCGCAATATCTTTTTCATCACTCATTTTCAAACTCGATTTCTTGAGGCGTCATACGGCTTCCAATAAACATGAAATACCTTAGCTCTTTCTATCACATAATAGGTTTTAATGAATTGTTTTGCTATTCTTCTTCTTTTTATCCGATGTATCATTTTTGCTTCATTTTATTTATTTAATTTTTTTTCTTTCATCCTGTAAAAGATAATCTGTCTTTAATATTGCTATTAGAAAGTTTCTGTTGTCGTCTTTTAAAAAATGACAAATTCTTTCTGAATTCAACAAATGAACTTTTTCCATTGGGTTTGATGCGGCTGCTTTTAGCATAATCAAACTTAAAAGCGTAGGCCAATTAACGAATAACTCGTTTTAAAACTGCATCATGCAGACTCCTAATAGACAACTAAATATACTATTACTTGCATGTGTGAAAGGCTATCGAAAGTGATCTTGTAGCAGGAAAACACAAGAAAAAAAAGTGGTGAATTATTTTTTTCAAAACCAAAACAAATTTTAGACACTTTCGTATTTCATTTTATTATCACTCAATACGAAAAGATGCAGCGTGAAAATCTCTCGAATATATTATGTATCGCTTATTTTAGAGTTATACTTTTTGCTTTTAAAATGGTCAAAACTCTGAGTTACCAAGTTTGAACATAATGAAAACGAGACTTTTTTTGGTAAAAAACAAAAGAATTCGTTTTTTTTCTATCTCATCTTTACATAGTTGTTCTTTGTACATTAAAGAGCTCTTCATGCTGCATCTTGCAGTGTATTTTGCTTTTTAAAATATAACATATCAAGTAATAAAAAGATGAGATGGGAAAAAACGAAGTTCATCTTTTATCAAATAAAAATCTTATTTACACAATGTCGAAATTTGGCAGTTCAGGATTTTGTCCATTTTTAAAACAAAAAATACAACTCTAACATAAGCGTTACTTTTTATATTGTAGAGCTTTTCACGCTGCATCTTCTAGTATATTTTGCTTTTTGCATACAGCATATTATGTGATAATAAAGTGAAATGCAAAAAAAACACATTCATTATGTTCTAAATGTTACCAGCTAGTTTAATAATGATCAAATAGCATGAAAAGATAGAGTGAAAGACGCTCTATCTTTTCGTGGAAAAGAACATTTTTCTTCAAGCTTTCTGTAAGCAAAAACTGAACGCATCCAAAGAATAAAAACTTAAAAATAGGTGAGATTCTTGTTTTGTTATTTATCAAAAAGCAAGATATTTTTGTTTGACTTGTGTAAAACAAAATATTCTTACTGTTTGATAATTTTCTTAGCAAATTGTTGAATGATTTCTTTTCGCTGTTTATTTGGATGATGTTCAACAGATCGAAGTAAAAAGATTCCATAATTTAAAATAATTTGTAAAGTATATGATGATTGTTGTAAATGATTAGTAGCAATATTAATAATAGTTTGAATTGAATTAATATTATTTGGTAAATATTCTAAATTAAATCGCATATTATATGAATTTAATTTGCTTAAGAAACTTGCAATAACATTTAATTGTTCATTAGTAAATCTTTTTTCAATCCATTCCAGAACTTTTTTAACATATTGCTCATTTGTTGATATAGCACACTCAAGCAAAAGTGGATAATTAATAACACGCTGATTAACATCTGAACCCGTTTTTTTAAATAAGGATAAAAATTTATCAAAAATTTCTTGTGTCATTAGTTGATAACGAAGAAATGTTAAACGTTTTTTATCATCAACTACTCTATCACGTTCAGATTGTGATAATATATGAATAGAAAGTGGTGTTGTAAATTCTGGATACATTTGAAATAGACGAAGACTTTCTTCAGTTCCTTCTTTTAATAATTTTTTTAAAAATAATTCTTTTCCAATATGTTTTTCAATAACAATATCAACTAACCATTTTTTTTCTTTCTTTAATCTATAAAGACTTAATGATTGTTCTGAACTTTGTAAAATATATTGAAATATACCAATCGTATAATTTGATGACCATTTACATGTATCATATAAAGCAAGAAATAAACGAACATAATTTTCAATAGAAAATGAACGAGGTATTTGAAGTGAAGTGAAATCATATCCTTCATTACTCCAGCTTGATGTATATTTCATTTGACCTATATAGAATAAATAAAAAATTTTATAATAAATTAAATTAAAAACCTGGTTGATTTGAAGCAATAATTGTTATTATTTGAATCATTTCTTCTGGACATTTTTCAAAAAAATATGTATCGTTGCAATGAATAAAATAAGGTAAGAATCTTTTATGTTTCTCTAATTGATTTAAATATTCAATTGTTAAATTCATCAATGTTTTTGGTTCTTTTTTTGAAATTAATTGAAATGTTTCATATTTTTTGTTAAAATAATTCGAAATTTTTTCATAATCATTTTTGTATTCATTTAAATCAGCTTTCATTAAATGAATGATAATAAGAGGTTGATAACGAATTAATTTAAAATAAAATGCTGATGATAAATTAATTTGTTCAAAACGTTTTAATGACCATCGTGATAAAAGATCAATTATTTGATCGTATTTACAAAATGGTACTAAATAGGCATCTATATTATATTGTTCATGATTATTTGATTCTGTTAAATGACAAGCAAGATCATAAAAAAATGATGAAGATTTTTTTAAACAATCAACTCGATGAAGATCTTTCAATATTTGATGTTTTAAACTAAACGAAAATAAAAAAAAAACAAATTTAATTTTTTTGTCGAAACAAAAAAACTTACTATCGAGGAAGATTTTTATCATTGATTGATTCAACAATAAATTTATGAATTTGTTTTGGATCTTTTTGAAGTAGAATCCAGCGTTGACCAGCAGAAGCTCGTTGTTTTGTTGATAATGAATTGTTTTTAAATATGTCGAACAAATTTTTCTCATTCTTAGTTGATAATGATAAAGAAATCAACATCTTTAAATCATCATAAGATGATTCAGATGATTGTTTTAAATGCTTTTCTAAATCATTTTTATCAGTCAATGATAAAATATATTTCAGACGATCTTTCCATGAACCATTTATTTTCAATAATTCATATTGATTTATTGAAGACATTTTTCTTAATTGAAAGTCGAAACAACTAACTAAAAACTAAACACATTCCTTTATATATAGGTAAAAGAATTTCTATGGATTGCGAAATATTCTTGAAAGACACTTTGGTTGGCACATCGAGGTATTGCTCTCGTTCTTTCTTTCTCAAGAGTAACGATGAATCAGTGCTTGTTTTTAGTTTTTTAATCATAGGAATAGCTCAAATCAACCAATTTTGGAGGGTTGTAGCATTACTTTTCTTGACGGAACACAAGAAAACTTCTGGATTTTACCATGAAAAAACGAAAATTTTTCAAGATTGCGGAGTTGTGACAAGTTCCACAATTCTTCTGATGGACCATCCCTGTTTAATCGTTCTCGATATTTTCTTCTAGCTCAAAAAAAAAATTTATTTTTAATAATGAGAAATAAATGTCCTTAGAAAAGAATTCGATACTTTCGAATCAAACAGATGAATAAGCTCATTAAAATATGTTATTTTTCTCTCAAGGTCAATTCATTCTTTTAGAGAACAGTAAATAGAGAAATCTCAGCAGTTCATTGAAATAAAAACAAACATTTGTCATTAGATAAATGCTTTTATTACTATTAGAATTATAAAAAAAAGAATAGATTCATTATATTGGACAGGTAAAAACAATATATTCAGGAGTGCATCATTATGGATTTCATTTATGTTTTGGTTACAAAAGTGAATTAATATTTGAATGAAATCTACATTTTCCTTGAAATACCATTGGTTGATCAAGAACAAATAGAAATTATCCGTACAGTTGATGGAAAAACATCTTTTTTTTTATATTAATATTTGTTCATGGATGGAAAAAGTATCTATTTAAAGTGCTTAGAAAATTTCAATGTCGACGTCTGCGTTTTCTTTTTCTGGTTAATGGCGCTAGTTGAGATGTCGTGAAATAACAACCCAGGTCGAGAAGAACAAATAAGGAACGTGTTCGCCACGTACCACGCGAACGCGTGCGGAATAAGTAGTTCCGAACGCGTTTCTGTATCGTTTGCAACGCGTTCTTTTCACGTTTGATGTCGCCACAAACGCTTCTTTGGATTGTTCTTTATAGCATATGACTCAATGGTTTCATTTGTCTATTGTTAAAATATTAAAAATAAAATTTTATTTATTATGAGTTTTCTCTATTTTACAATTATTTCAAGTACGAAATTATAAAGAGAAATGAAAAAACATAACTAAAAACAATAGCTGAAGTAGGAAGTCCACAAAAAGTATGCGTCGCTTCATTATATGTTTCTCTTGGCTTTTGTGAGGGAAATCTGCCAGGATAAAATTTCAAAGGTAGCTGGTAAAAGATCAGCAGGAAAGTAGACTTACGAACTTTATTATTTTCATTGCCATAAGAATTATCTAAAACGATAAAAAAAAACTAATAATAAGATTGTACAGTATAAGAGTGAGATATATTTAGAGATAAACTAGTATTTTTCTCACTTTCTTGATGTACAATATCTGAAACGAAATATATATGCATTTTTTTTTATCGTTTGGTTTAGAAATTGTATTAGTATATCATTTCCACTAATTATAGCAATTGCCAAACGATTCGAATATACTCTTCATCAGTATAAAAAAAATCATAAAGTCGTCGTGAATATCTTTTCTTTTCTTAAATGGAGAACTCCATGAAATATCAATACTATATCAAGTAAAACGTAGTTATTAATCGTAGCATAAGTATGAACCGAATTGTTATTAGCGTAATAATCATCATGTGCATCGTTGATATGAACAATATTTGTAAAAAAAAACCAACGATATATCGATTTTATTTAAAAAAAATAAAAAATCAGGTCAAAGTTTAGTCATCGAATTTATCTAAAAATGATAATCAATTACTTCTGAGTCACATTTAATTTAAAAAATAACATTTTCCACAGCATTGTTTTTATGAATTACCATTAATTTAAAAAAAACTTATCCATATATATACTTTACGATGAGAGCCATTCCTGAATTCTTTTAGCCAGCCTCTACAATGCCGACATCAGAACGTTATGAACGCGTTGAGAACGTATGCGAAACGCATTTTTATCCATTCGTGCGTTCTGAACGCGTTTTGTCGCTGTTCGTCTCGACCTGGGAATCGAGAAATTGTGGGTGCGTGTGTGGGTGGGGTGTGGATGTGTTTCAGTAAGGAGAAGTACATCTACACCTACACCCACATCAGACCCCACACACCCACACCCCACGCCCAGACACCCCCAGCCGACTCTTAATATGAATAATGAAGTTTTTGATTCATAGGTTTTTTATAACATCAATTTTCTTTTTTGAAGTTTTCTTTATTTATATAAGTAATGTGTATGTCTTTTGTTTTTTATACAGTCTTGTTAAACATAGTGTTAAGGTATCTGATAAAACCATCTCGTACATTTTAAACCATTCCGCTAACGCAGGACCCTACCATTATAAAAAAAAATGTTCCTTCTATCGAGAAAAAATGTAAGAAAAGGTATTTCAACTTAAAAGTTTTCCCATGAATATTTGATACGCTATTTAGATTATCCTGAAATTTTTATCAATGGCTGTTGTTTACTTTTGAAAATATGGCATGTTGAAGAGAAATTGAATTTTGTGAGTGTTTTCGCAAAATATTACTGATTTATTTCCGCATCCAATATCTCAACAATGAAGAATTTCGTTTTGACAAAAATTTCAGGACAATTTAAAGATCGTAGAAGCTGATGAAGAGAAAATTTGAGATCAAAATTTATTTCATGGAGATTTTTGCAAAGTCCTAAGTGTCTACTAAAGGGCATTGTATAGTTTAGGTGAAAGAATAAGAGAATGCATTTTCGACATTGTATAAGTATACTGAGAACTCATCAGATCTATTTGCATGATCATCTTCAATCTGTTCTCATGAAAACTTTCTTTAGCTTTTAAGGGTTAAAGATAATATTTCATTGAAATGCTCAACAATTTTCATGGAATTATTCGTAATATTTTGTAGAAATGAGTGCGATTTTAAAATGATTTCGTCTTGTAGAACATTAGAGAAAAAAGGCATCTTTCTATCTTCTCTTTTTACTAATGAAAAGTGCAAGTTTCTAGCTTATAATATATACTTAGGGTATACCGAAAGTCTTTACGGTGCTAAATCAATTTCTTATAGAATGCTTGGAGAAGTTTTCTTTTTTTTTATATAGTGATAGAGAAAACGATGCTCCATTGTCCTATGCTATTTGATCTGTCTTCAACTAATATAAGAATAATAAAATTTCGATAAGAACTGTTTTTGTGTAAAACTTAACTATCGCGTAAGGCAGATTAAATATTTCAATCGCTTAATGCATTGTATTAAAAAACAAACTACAACACAAGGTGCAGCATGAAAAGCTCTACAATATACATCAGACCGCGTTTTTTAATAGTTGCATTTTTTGTTTTCAAAATAAAATTTTCAGCAATCAATTTTCAGTCGTACGAAAACGATAGTTTTTGGGAGAAGATGAATTCATTTCTTCTTATTTCAACTATTTTTTACCTGATATCTTTTATTTAAAAAAAGAACAAAATACATCACAAGATGCAACTTGAAAAGCTCTACAATCTATAAAGTAAAGTTGATTTTAACTGTACATTTCTTGTCAAAGAAATCAAAATTCTGTGCGACCAATTTTCAGCGCTCGAAAAAATCATGCGAAGAGACATTCGATTTTTCTTATTTCATACATATAATGAACCGTTCTTTATAAGTTGTAGAGCTTCTCACGCTGGGTCTTCTGGTATATTCTGTCCTTTAACATATAATATATTGAGTGATTGAAAATTGAAATGCGAATCATATTAATCTGCCTCATTCGTTAGTTAAGTTTTACACAAAAATGGTTCTTATCAAATTTTATTATTATTATATTAGTGGAAGATGGATCACATGGCATATAAAAATTGAGCATCGTTTTCTCTATCACTACATCAAAAAAAAGAAAATTTCTTCAAGCATTCTGTAAGAAATTAATATAGCACCGTAAAAGACTATTTGGTATGCCCTAAGTGTATATATGGACAAAGTAAGTAACGACTTTTTTCAAATGTCTATTTTATTGATTACTGGGTGGAGCAAAAGTTTTGCAACATTTTTTATTTCCCATACATCTTGCCGTAGGTAAACGATAAACGCTTAAATTTT